ATACAATAATTTAATTGTTTCATATTTAATAATTTTAACACAATATTCATTATTTAATTATCAGTTATTTCATATTCAATAGAGAATATATGTATGACAACACATGCCACCATTCATTTTGCAATAGAGAGTGTTTTTTCATTCAAAATATCGGCAAACATTTAAAAAAAAAAAAAGATAACTATATATCACATAGGTAAAGTATATATAAAATATGCACCACTCCGCAAATCGCATGGTGGAGAAGACCTTAGTTTCTCTTTATTAGAGAGATTAAATGAGTGTTGCTTTGAATTTTAAATTCAGGGTACTATGCAATTTTCTGCTTTTAAACTCACCAAGCTAGTATGCACACTTTTCTGTTTAATATTTTAGAAGTTATTTATGGCATGCTTCCTTAATTTGATCTTTATTCTTTTTTTGTGAGTCAAGATCATTTTATCTTTGCTTGTGCACATCTTTCTTCTTATTCTAGACTCAATTATCACAAAATAACTAATGCTTATTTAAGAAAATGAATAAAATCTTATAACAATGATTTCATACTTCACTAGATAATGTTTGTAATTGATTATTTCATATTTTATATTTAGGAAAAAGTAGATATCCATAAAATTTCTTTTCAGGTTTTGCTTTAACTAAATAAACAATGATCCATGATTATGTAATTTAAGGATTTCAAAAAGTCATTGATTAGTAACAATGTAAAATTTTAGAAGTTGTACCTTGTATTCTCATCAATGGACTGTGATTACAAAGGGTCATATATAAAATACTCATTGGGTCCTTAATGTAGGACTTAATTGTTGAATTAACCTTAGTTCTAAATATAAAATATATTTCTTATATTTATTATTATTTTTTAAATTGTCTGATACTCTTCCATCACAATCAAGTAGGAAAGGAGGAGAGGATATTAGAAAAGATGATTATGATGTTTTAGAAAAAAAAACATATCATATTACTTATAATTAACTAACTCTTCTCACTTTTTTAATTTAATCAAATTAGTTAAATAGGTCTTATATTAAAGATCGGAGGAATACAAACTTGGCTTAAGTGCACACAAAAGACCGATTGTGACTTACAAGTCAAGCACGTCAATATTTTCCATGTTTCCATAGACTTCTGGTATATTTGTTTGTTTCTTTGACATCTTCTCGCTAACGTTTTTTATGGGTAATCTCTAGTCATAGCCTGCCAAACTAGACCACAAAATAGAAGTTGTTTCGTGCGAAATGGTACATGACTTTGAGGTCTACTCACAAGTCAATTATTCCATGTAGCTATGAATATTGGGTGGTTGGAATTTTGATATATACTTTTGTGAAAGGTAGGGACAAGATATGGCTTGCAAGATTGACCGTAAGCGAAATAATGCAGTGAAAATGAAAATGTGGTTTAAGAAATTAAAGAGAAAAAGGTTCTTCTCATCATCAACATTATTTATGGGTTATTCTGTAACCTATACAATCCGATGAAAATAAAAATAATTTCCTTGATGTGATAACAAGCCATTTGTAGTTCTTCATCATGATTTTCTTTTTCCTTCATTGCATCAATTTCTTCTAATGACCACTTAATGTTTGAAAAATCTACCATGCTTATGCCTAGTGAGTGCTCTTTAAATAAACATTATTTGACTATTAATGAGTGTATTAATAAAGGGAAAATAATAGAGAAATCATTTAATATATCTTATTGAAATATAAAATGAGATTTATTATGAAACATGTAAAAATTTTTGTGACATTTATTATGAATTGAGGGAGTAGCTTAGTAGCACATACCAAGTCATAGTGAAATCTAAAAAGGCTACTTCCAACTCTACTTTACAACTCTACTTCTGACCAAAAAGCGTGCTTTATTAAGCTTGAAACTTCTATAAATGGTATCTTATATCTCCTCTTGATTAATTTATAATTAAATGTTTACTTAAGGATAATTCTTTAAAATTATTAATTTTATAACAATTTATATTATAAATAATAAAGTATATTCTCTCTATCCATTATGATTGAGTAAATAATTAAAGATTTTTTTTTTTTTGCCTCTTCCATTCATGCTTTCTCTTTATTTGGTTGTTAACCCAAATATGTTCGGGATTAGTGTTTTGCCAATGTCATTGTTTGGCTAGTCTCAGAAATTAAGATGTTATTTATATGCTTTAAATTAAAACACTTGCAAGATTAATAAGTTTACTGTTATAGGACTTATTGGAAATTTCTAATTTTTTTAATAAATTTAAAAACTCCTCAAATTCTTCCAAGGACATATTCTTTAAACTCTTAGAACATGTTTAGTTGGCATTTTCTAGGATTTAGATTTAGATTATATATCGTCTTCCCTTTTTTTCCCACGCGACTCTTTTATACGCCCGAATCAAATAATGTAATGTTAAATCCATGGTCATCTACTGAATTTCTATAGTGTTAATTTAAATTTAAGATTGAGATCTATTATGCAATTTTATGCTTTTAGATTAGTATGCACATGTTTGTTTTTATTTTGTTTCCTATGGCATGCATGCTTCTTAATTTAATCTTTACTATAACATACGGTGTTTCATTTTCAGCCTATTGGTGCGAGAGCAGCCTATCTTCTCTCTCGATTTAATTACCAACAGAATAAACATTTTTTAAAGGAATTAACTAAAAGTTTTAGAATCTTCTAAGAGATGATTTCATACTTTACTAGCTAACACTTTTATTGATTATTTCAGACTTAATATTCGGGAAATATTTGATAATCTCTGAAATTCCATTCATGCTTTGCTTTAATTTAAAAATATCCTTGCTTATATAATTTTAAGGATTTCAAAAATCATGAATTATTTCTTTTCGATGTGTAAAAAAAAATATCAATTATTTTTTGTGGTGTATAAAAGTTTATCAATTATTACCAATATAAAATTTAACACAACCAAATGAAGCTGTTTCTTTACTATTCAAAAGGAGACATTTAGAAGCTGTTTCCGGTCAGATGAATTGCAACTACGACTACAAGTTTGACTTTAATGCACAATAGACAATAGACAGGTTGTGTTTTGCAAGTAAAACGCGCTAGTAGTTTCTCTATTTCCAAAGACTTTGATATATTTATTTGTTTCTTTGACATCTTCTCGATCGCTAATTTCTTTGGGTAATCTCTACGTATATTCACAAGAGTATTTGAAGACTAACCGCTAAAATGATTTTCATTTCAACAATAAAATTCAAACCTCACACTCCTTTAAAATATGTGATTCGTATAAACTAAACCAACTTTAATTTTGTTGATATGTTATCCTTCAATATGACTTTCAAAATGCTTTAAAACAATTGCACAAATGATCCCTTCAAGTTTGTGGCGTAGAAAGTGGATTATCAGATTGAGTTTCTGTGCCTTTTGAAATATGCATACAAAAATACATACTAATTTTATCAGATTGAGTTTCTGTGCCTTTTGAAATATGCATACAAAAATACATACTAATTTTTTTGCCACATACAATCTATAAAATCTGAAACAAAAAATAATTAAATTCTGCGCTATTCATGTGTTTTTGAAGTCAACTGTGGTATTCTCTTTTGGGTAAACTAAAATGACATTACCAAATTAAAATTACAAACACACGCACACACAAGTTGTTTCGTTTGAAATCTGGTGTGACTTTGAGGTCTACTTACAAGTCAAGCGCTCCATGTACCAATGCATATGTACAATCAATTAAAGTTTGTAGACTTTTGATAAACATTTTGTTCATGCATGCTTCTTCCCACTAGTAATTATAATTTTTTTTCTCTATCTATGGCCTATAAGACTGACCATAAATGAAATAATGCAATGGAAATGAAAATGCGGTTCAGGAAGTGGAATTATACTCTCTCATTACTAACGTATTTATGGAATCATTTCATCAACTTGCTTTTGGTGATAACTTTAATCTTTGGAATGCCGATTTCATTTATGCTCAACTCTTTGTTGGTATTAACTGGAATATATTTTGGTTTAGTGGTTTGTCAATATCTTTAATTTGTTTGGCTAGTCTTAAAGAAATTCAGATGTTATTTACGCTTAGCTGTTATTTATAAATTTATTTTTGTGGATGTATTTTTCATTTTGAAAATTCCCTAATTAAAATAAATTGAAGGCTGCTTTTAATAAAATAGATGATACACTAGTTGAAAATTGCAAATTGAGACTACATCAAAATTAACATTTTAAAAAAGGGATAAGGTGATTAAATACTCTAAAAGTATTCACCAAAAAACACCCAGCATCTGAAGGTTTTCCCCCCCCTCTTATCTGCCATTATATAAATTTTTTTAATCTGTTATTGTATAAATATATGTATTATAACATGTCGTTCAGATTTGAGTTATTAGGTGTAACAAAATAATCTTTAAGTTTCCATCCTAGAGTGTGTAATCTTGGCAAATACCGTTTTTAATTATACAATTTACTTTACTGTATGTGTATTGAAATATTACCTGGCAAAAAAAATGTTTATAGAAATATTAAAGCCACACAAGACAAACAGAAGAGAATATAAATCAACTTTAAACGAAGTACAATACAAAAAAGTAAAAAGCTTTTATTATTTGGAAGTCTGTAATTAATCACAATCACGCAATATATTTTATTTTAGTGTTTACTTTTTTATGGTTATTTTTTAATGTAGTCACGAGAGATGTCATTTTGCAATTTGAAATTTAACGTCCTCGCCTTGACTTTGATTTAGAATTGGAGAAGTATAAATGGACTTGTTTGTTAATTGCTGGATGCACAACACTTGCGAATTTGATAAGTCTGCTATGCAAAACATGGAAAAACCTCTTCCCTTTGTTTTCCTTTTCTTTGTTCATTGCTTCATGTCCTGCTTAGCTTGGAGTCAAACAAACATGACTACCGACAGATCTGCACTTCTTTCCCTTAAATCCTATATCACTTCGGATCCATACAATTTCTTAGCTAATTGGTCTGTCTCTTCTTCTCCCTGTAGTTGGGCTGGTGTCACCTGCAATACTTGTCATGGAAGGGTCCATTCCTTGAATCTTGGTGGCATGGATCTTAAGGGTAGCATATCACCACAACTAGGAAATCTCTCCTTCCTGGTTGATCTTGATCTCAGTAAAAACAACTTTCATGGTCAAATTCCTCAAGACTTAGTTCAATTACGTCGATTGAGACTGTTCAACTTGAGCTATAATGACTTTCACGGGCAAGTTCCAACATGGATAGGAGATTTATCTATGCTTGAGCAGTTGAGTTTTCGAAATAACAGTCTCAATGGGTTCGTTCCATTATCTCTATTCAATCTATCAAGGTTGGAGACTTTGGATTGGAACTCTAATATCATTGAAGGTACCATTCCACCTGAGATAGGAAGTCTAAAGCACTTGAAGAATTTACAACTTTCAAGGAACAAACTTTCAGGAGCAATTCCCCAAACAATTTCCAACTTATCTTCACTTGAACTGCTATGGTTATCTTATAATAGTTTGTCAGGTATGTTTGGATTAATTTTTATATTTATATTTATGTTTGCTCAAAACTAGTCTATTTATTCATCTAGATATAAACTCTCAATAATCATGTGTTTGGGTGCGTTGAATGTGGTTGTTCTTTAATGATCCTTTGTTCTCAAAATCGAAGTTAATTATTTATAAAGTAAGGTGATAAAGCATAGAATTTAAGTTTTCATTATTAATATTGAATAACTCAGTTCTAATATTGATTTTTTTCCTGTCAATCTATGCAAATTATATCATTTTGAAAGAAAAATTTGTTTAAATTCTTAGGAATTACTTAGGTCATGACGTTTTAGAAGATATAGAATGGGTTTTATTTGTCATTACATACCAAACGGTTCTTGAGGATACTCCAAAACGCAGAAGACTTGTTCCTAAACAATGTGACTCCCGCATTTTCTTTTAGCATTTTATATTGATGAGATTTTTTTTTTTCAAGTTGTGAAACAAAAAGCTATGGCGAGTTGAATTTTAGAAGTTTAAAATAGTTAAGACGTGCTTTATGGCAAACCCTTATTCGCGACGTGCTTTGAACACATGGCACCAACTAGGATCCCTTCTTTCTACTTTTTTGGTATTTTTCATTTCCCCCTATATTTTCTTTTCAATGGCAAGTTTTTTGGTTTTCTTTTGTTATAGACAATCCATTAGAATTTAATAAACACACATAATTATTGTGCTTAGAGTGTGTAAAATTGGCAAATGCCATTTTTACTATATGTTAATTGAAATTTTAAAAAGGCCCCATACACCGCTACCTAGAATTACAAGGAATGAAAATGCTGGAGTATTTCTTACTTTTATTAATGATATTTCTATCTTGGGTCATTTGTAATTATCTGTTTATATTTAGCGATATCCTTATAATCCGAATAGTCTATTTATTTATATATTTATTTTAGCTTCTCAAACTTAAAAAAAAAATAACTTTAGATGTATTGAAAACAAATGTAGCACACCCCTCTGATTAATTTTAATTTGACGTAATCACGAGAGATGTCATTGTCCTAGTTTGAAATTGAGTTTGCACTCCTTGACTTTGATTCAGGATTAGAGAAATATAAAATGACGTGTCTATTAATTTTTGGATGCTTCACACTTAAAAATTAAATTTTCTATTTTTTATCTTAATTATAACAGTTTGCTAAGTATGTTTTGAACGATTCTGGGGTTGTCTCCATTTTTTTCGTTTTTTTAGTTGTTATTATATTTTTGTGCCTTTCTTATTATTTTTCCCATCATTTTTCTATTCTTCTTAAAAGAATAAAAAACAATTTGTCATCCCAATTGTGAGATGGTTAGTAACCCTATACCATAGGGAAAAAGACTATTGTTATAATATTTGTTTGAAGAGATCTTTTAAGGCCCATTATCAATCTTTGAAAACGATATTTATTATTATCATGCTATTACAAACTTTTGAAGTTTTTTTAATTAAAAAAAAAGAGTAAGCCTTACCAGCAACATGTTTGGAAAATGGAACATTTAATTTTAATGTGGATAATATAAAATATTAATTTTAGGATATATTATTCACTTTTATTTTAAATAAGTTTGTAGATGACAAAAATAATTTTAAATTAATCAAAATTACAGAAAAATAAACTGAACTGAAACATAAAACAGTGTAATGAATCCCCATATCCAAAATATTTATTCTATTTTATTACCTGAGCTGAATTGAAAGGGTTATTTCTATTTTGAAAATAGGCATCGTTGTGTTTATCATTTACAATGTACTAATGTTATTTCTCATATAAGAGCACAAGTCTTACTATGTGTTTTCAAAAATGCAAATATGTCTCATGTACATAATATTTTTGTCAACTACACCAACGATCTTGAACTGTCCCTATATAGGACTTAGCTAGCTAGTAACGAATTTAATTTTTGAAAATAATTATATTTCTTAACACTGTCAGCTTAGTTTTGTAAGGTTATATCTTATCCTTGAGTATATTTTCAAAATTGTTTTCAATAAAAATGCAGACATAAAATGCAGCACTAGATTGACAAATATAAATATCAATTAAAAATACATACTTTAAAAAAAGTTCTTCCATATGCATGGTCAAACCCAGCAGCAAGGAAAAAAAACCTAAAAAAATCCACACTCTTAACTTCTCTTTCATTTACTTTCTAGTATTTAACTTAAATTAATTGTTCATTATGTCTTTCAATATTTATACGGTGAAATAATAATTTTTGCTATGCATATTAATTATTTCAACAGCGGATTATTTGATCATTTTATTATGACATATGACAATTAATGCGCATGCTACGAAAGTTGATATTGACATATTGTTTATCATTTAATATTGGAAGGAGCCATTCCAAAAGAAATTGGGTGATCTTCAACAGCTTCATGCAATATATCTTGGAGGTAATCAGCTTTTAAGCACTATACCAACCTCCATATTTAATAGTTCAGTACGACAAGGCATTACACTTGAAAGCAATAATTTATCCGGGAGTCTGCCAACAAATGTGTGTTCCCGGCTTCCAAAACTCAAATTATTTTATGTGGATGGAAATGATTTGTCTGGCAAAATACCCTCCATTTGGCATCAATGCAAGGAATTGGTAGAGTTACAATTGGGGAATAACAAATTCAATGGAGGAGACATACCAACTGACATTGGAAATTTGACCAAACTTGAGTGGCTATATCTTAGAAGCAGCAACTTGCAAGGTAAGAGCTTTAATTATGCGGTTGTCTAAAATTTTGTTTTTACTATTTTGATAAGTCATTAATTTAATTTAAATATTACAAATTTAGTCAATAATAATTTTGCTAGATTAATTTTAAAGACATGGAACTTGATGCTTTCTTTTAATCTCAAACTGGATATGCTTTCTTTTATATATAATTTAATTTTCACACATGTCAAAACATGAAATAAAATATTTAAACTGAACAAAAATTAATTAATCAAAATTTGTAATTAACTTTCATGTGGTATGGCATTCGTTCCGTGTCGGTCATTTTCCCCTCCATTTTGTTGTTGGCGGCAAATTTTTTAAAAAATAAATATAGTTCTATATTATCAATTAGAGCATATCAGTGTTATTTTTCAAAACGAGTAAGCCTTGAACGATGTTATAACAAAAAATATAAATTTTGTATCTCGTAGATAAAACATGTAAATGAAATATATCATTAAAAAAAGTAGAAAACTATTATTTACTAATATTATAAATTGCTAATACGCACAAATATGTTAATTCATTCACATTGAATTGGAACAATTTTCTGGCCAAAAAAATTGTAACAAATCTGTACGTTCAATTCTTGGTAAAATTGAATAACGCTCTTGAACATAAAAATTTTCACTGGTAATTTCTTGATAATTATTTAATTTGAAGTTAAAAGAAACATCCAGAAAGGGGAAAACGTAACAAATGTAGACTCATTATACATTTTGTGGAACTTTTTTTTCCTTGTTAAGCAAATATACTTAATGATTTGGAAAATTTTCAGATAAAGAAGCCTGAAATTGTGATATTTTAGTTTTTAAATAAATTGTTATCTTGAGTGAAAGCTAAAATAAAAGAGTGAACTTATATTATTTTTTTCATTACAGTGTTACTTTTACTTTTAGCATCCACCTGGTATTACAGTGTTACTTTTAATTTTAGCAACCACCTGGTTCGGAGATTAAATCCCACCAACCCCACTGTCCTAGGCAAGGGGTTCCAAAGTTATTTTAAAAAATGGAAAATTTTTATAATTTTTCATGAATTTCAAAATTCTAATTTGATTTTTCTTCATTTTCTATAATTTTAAAGTATTACGCACCTGAATTGAAATAACATAATTCTATGTTTTTTTCCTGTGAAATTTTTGCTAATGAATTCTCACTAAAATGAGTCATAAAAGGTCAAAAAGATAATATGAGTGAGGCTTATAATTAATTTAGGAATGAAAATTAAAAAAATTCATTAAATGATCCAACACGTCAGGAATGAAGCTTTATAACAAAAAAATCAGTTCCCCTTAAAGATTTGATGTTTATATTTTTCAATCGGTAGGAGCATGTCGTGGTAATGTTCAGTTACGAGTACTGGGCTTTATGCTCTCAAAGCCCATTTGCTAGTATATGTGTTTTTGCATAAATATAGGCCTATTATCCAGTGTTATACATGAACCCAGTTCCTCTTTCGCTCAACAATAGACAGATTTTGGTTCTCTCCATTTTTTTTGGCATCTCTTTACATTATATTTATACTTTGTGCATATTATACAAAAATATTATAAATTGTTTTATTTTCCTATTTATTATAAATTGTTTATTTTCCTATTTACAAGTCCATTCAGCGTTTTCACAAAGAGAGTTGTTAATGATGTATATCTAAATGCCAACCTCTTTACAAGTATTGAGATTATTATTTCTTATTTTTCTTCTTTTATTTTCTTTTTTTAATATTCTTCAATAATAAAATAAATTTAAAATGACATTTTATCTGTTCATTTCTTTATTACCATACATTTTCTAGTGGAGGCTTGAACATGGCTAATGATTTATAACCACAAAGCAGCAACGATTTTCTATTTTTTTCTGGTGATATTTTCTTCATTTAGAGAAAAACAAAAACGCGATTTTTCTTTTTGGCCATTTCATTTACTCATATTCTTCGTTCATATAATGGGACTTGTATTAAGCTTGTGATTACAATGCCAAAATAAAAGAAAGATAGGATCAACAACCAATGGGACCACTTGATATTTAAAATGTGTAAGACATTTTGCTCTTAACTATCACATCATTTATACATTGAGCAATAAAATGGCTTCACCATATATAATTTTTCCAGGAATCATTCCAAGTGAGATTGGAAAATTGACAAACCTCCAGCACCTTGATCTTAGCAACAACAATTTGCAAGGTCAGAATTTTAATTATATGGCTGTCTTAGACCATGTGTGTATTTTTGTTTTGTTTTAATCTCGGGGATGAAAAATAATTTTAAAATTAGATTCTTTTTTTTTTTAATCTTTTTTCATTCATTTTAAACAATCATGAGAAGGTCTGTGTTCAAAGGAAAAATGCTTAAAAAGAGCCATAACTTATTAACAAGTACTTGTAATGTGTGTTTGTCTGTTTATAAAATACGACTTCTCTATTGTTCTCTTTATTTGGAAAAGGACACATCTAATGGTGATGCTTTCTTTTAATCCCAAAAGCGAATATTGCTTTATACATATATACGTGTTTGTAATTTACTTAGAGTGTGTTAATTGAAATTTATACATATGTGCATAAATTCATGTCGCACATATATTCGTAGCATGCTTTGAACACATGTTTTTTTGTGTGCGTGTGTGTATATATATTGCGTATATGCAAACAATATATATATTACCTATATGCAAACAATATCTTTTGTGTTTATCAATAAAGTATTCCATTTCTATTTTTTTTAGAGTGTAGGGGTTGTTAGAAGTCATGTAAAGAATTTATGTTCCTTTAAGTTTAAAATATAAGTATACAATAACTTATGCAATTCGAAAAGTTGGTTAAAATTAATTAAAAATAATAAATATGTTAAATATATAACTTATTGTCTTAAAATATCCTCATTTATGGTGAGGCTTATAATTAATGTGGGAGAAAAATAAAAAAATGGATTCAACAAATCCGGAAAAAGCTTATTGAAAGAAAAAGAAAAAGTTCCTCTTAAAGTTTTGATGCTTATATTTTTTAACTATAGGGGATATTGGGCTTTAGCCCAGTCTCTAGTGACGGTGTTTTTGTATAAATATGGGCCAATTATCCAAGTGTCATGGATAAACTCATTTCCACTGATGCTGAATAATACATTTTCACTTTTCTTCAATTTTTCACGGGCATTCCTTTACATTATATATGTACTTTATGCATATTATAAAAAAATATTATAAAATTTTTAATTTTCCTATTTTCAAGTCCATTTAGCGTTTTCACAAGAAGAGTTGTTAATGAATTATATTAAATGCCAACCTCTTTACAAGTATTGAGATTATTATTTCTTATTTTTCTTCTTTTATTTCCTTTTTTTAATATTCTTCAATAATAAGATAAATTTAAAATGAGATTTTATCTGTTCATTTCTTTATTATTGTACATTTTTCTAGTGGAGGCTTCAATATGGCTAATGATTTATAACCACAAAGGAGCAATGATTTTCTATTTTTTTCTAGTGATATTTTCTTCATTTAGAGGAAAACAAAAATGTGATTTTTTTTTTTTTGCCATTTCATTCATTCATATTCTTCGTTCATATAATGGGACTTATATTAAGCTTGTGATTACAATGCCAAAATAAAAGAAAGATAAGATCAACAACCGATGGGACCACTTGATATTTAAAATGTGTAAGACATTTTTTTTTAAATTTTACTCTTAACTATCACATCATTTATACTTTGATCAATTAAATGGCTTCAACATATATATAATTTTTTTCAGGAATAATTCCAAGTGATATTGGAAAATTGACAAACCTCCAGTTCCTTAGTCTTGGCAACAACAATTTGCAAGGTCAGAATTTTAATTATATGACTATCTTAGACCATGTGAGTATTTTTGTTTTGTTTTAGTCTCAGGGATGAAAAATAATTCTAGAATGAAATTTTGTTTTTATTTTTTTCATTCATTTTAAAGAATCATGAGAAGGTTTGCGTTCATAGGAAAGATGCTTAAAAAGAGCCGTAACTTATTAACAAGTACATGTAATGTACGTGTTTGTCTGTTCGTAAAATGCGGTTTATCTATTTTTCTCTTTATTTGGGAAAATACACATCTAATGGTGATGCTTTCTTTTAATCCCAAAAGTGAATATTGCTTTATGCATATATACATGTTTGTAACATGCTTAGAGTGTGTTAATTGAAATTTATACGTATACACATATGTTCATGTCTCACTTATAAGTTATATTCGCAAGGTGCCTTGTACCAGTTGGGATTCCTTCTTTCTCTGTTTTTTTTTTTCTATTTTTCATTTCCCCCATTTTTTCTATTCAATGGCATGTTTTTTCGTTTACTTTTGTTATAGACAATCCACTAGAATTTAATAAACACGCATAATTATTATGCTTAGAGTTAGAGCCGGGAAAATGAGCTGAGCCCATCGGGCCGGCCCGTTTAAGCCCTGAAATTATGAGGGCCGGGCTTGATATTTTTCCCTTCAAATGGGAAATAAGCCCTGGAGGGCGAGGGCTTAAAAGGGCCGGCCCTGCCGCGAGCCGGCCCTTTTAAGCCATTTTATACTTTTTTTGTTTTTTAAATTTTTGTATATAATTATAATATTATTAATTTTTTACATTGTTAATAATATTTCAAATATTTAGTTATTATTATCATTTTAAAATTAAATTTAGTGTTAGACAATAATTTATCCAATTAAATTTTTAAAAAATGTGTTAATTTGGACTTTAATAATGATTTGATTTATATTATATGCGTTGATATTATACAAAAGTATTATAAATTGTTTTATTTTCCCATTTACAAGTCCATTAAACGTTTTTATAAAAAGAGTTGTTAATAAATTATATTTAAATGCCAACCTCTTTATAAGTATTGAGATTATTATTTATTATTTTTCTTCTTTTATTTCTTTTTTTTTAATATTCTTCAATAATGAAATAAATTTAAAATGATATTTTATCTGTTCATTTCTTTAATATCGTACATTTTTCTAGTGGAAGCTTAAATATGACAAATGATTTACAATCACAAAACAATTATTTTTTTGGGGTGATATTTTGTCCATTTAGAGAAAAATAATAATGAAATTTCTTTTGGCCATTTCATTCATTTATAATGTTCGTTTATGTAATGGGACTTATACTAAGCTTGTGATTAGAATGCCAAAATAAAAAGAAAGATAAGATCAATAGATGATGGGACCACTTGATATTTAAAATGAGCAAAACCTTTTTTTTTTATTTTTAGTTTTACTCTTAAAACTATCACATCATTTATACTTTGATCAATAAAATGGCTTCACCATATATAATTTTAGCAACAACAATTTGCAAGGTCAGAATTTTAATTATATGACTGTGTTAGACCATATGCGTGCTTTTGTTTTAGTTTTAATCTTGAGAATAAAAAATAATTTGAAAATGAAATTTTGTTATTATTTTTTTTCATTTGTGGAAATATCTTATAACAGTTTATTAGGTGTATTTTGAATGAACCTGCGCTTTGGATATTGCTTTAGATTTTGTTGTATTTTTGGCCATTTCTTCTTCTTCTTTTTGTCAATCATTTTTCTATTTTTTTTAAGAATAAAGAAATTTTGTCATCTGATTTTTGAAATGGTTAGTTATACCAATGAGAAAAGAATATTTAATAATAGCCCAAACAGATCTTTTACGCTGATTATCAATCTTTGAAAACAAATGTTTATTTTTATACTCGTATAATTTAAAACTTTTTGAAGCTTTTTCTTTAAAAAAAGACTAAGCAAGCCTTACAAGCAACATGTTTGGAAATTAGAACATTTAATTTTAATTTGCATAACATAAAATATATATTAATTTTATTATTTAATATTAATTTTTATTGTAAACTCATAATCTTATTTGTCGAATGAAACGGATGCAGCTTACATGATATATAAGAATTTCTCAGAATTAATTAATCCACAAATCTGAAAAAGATAACAAAAATAAATCTAAAATTATAAATTAATCGAATTTAAATTACAGAATAATAAACTGAACTGAAGCATAAAACACAGTGTAATGAATTGAAATTGTTTTTTTTAAATAAGTATTTTTGTGTTTCTAAATACGCAAGTCTTTCTGTGTGTTTCTGAAAATGTAAGTCTCCCATGCACATAATATTTTTACTGAACCAATAATCCAAATTGGGCAATAAATATTGATAATGAATTGTTCCTGTATAGGACTTAGTTAGCTAGTAACAAATTTAATTTTTGAAAATAATTATATTTTTTTAACATTGTCAGATTAACTTTCTAAGGACATATCTTATCCTTAAGTATATTTTTTAAAATTTTTCAATAAAAATGCAGACGAAAAAATGCAACAGCAGATTGAGAAATGTCATAATGTAAACATAAATAAAGAAATACATAATTTCAAAATTACCATAACGTCAGGTAAGAAATTTGATAGACAAAATTTGCTTTCCCCGTTCGTAATATTTATGCATGGATTAATCCGCATAACGCAAATATTCAAGTTTTGGGGATCAGTGCGTAAGACGCCTATAGTTATATATATATATATATATATATATAAATATATATATATATATATTTCCTGCTTTATTTTCCCTTTAAAGCTGGTACACTTATACAAATATGTTATTAACTATTTTATTTTTCTGTTTACAAGTCCATTCAGTGTTTTCACAATCAAAGTTGTTGTTAATGAATTGTATTTAAATGCCAACCTCTTTATAAGCATTAAGATTATCACTTCTTGTTTTTATTATTTTCTTCTTTTTAATATTCTTCCATGATAAAATAAATTTAAAATAAGGTTTTATCTTTTAATTTCATTAATATTGTATATATCCATAGCGGAGCTCGTAAAACTAAAATGAGATTTTGGTTTTTGTCATTTTATTCATTACAATGTTGATCCATAGAATGTGGCTTATATATATAGCTTATGATTACAACGCCAAAATAAAAGAAATATAAGATCATGAACTGATGGACCACTTGATATTTATAACGTGGAAAATAAATGGCTTGTTTGCTTCTTCTTTTTTTATTCTTTTTTCCAGAACAATTTCATAATTTTCTAAAAAATAAGTTTTGAGAATAAAAAGATGAAAAATATGTTTGGATGACAATTTTAAAAACCACATTTGAAACAAAAATCACATTGGGCAGTTTGATTATGTGCTTTAAAAAAGTTTCATATTTGTGATGTATGAGTGGACGCAATGTTTTGTTTTTTAATTAATGAAAAGATTTGCATTTGAAAAGATTTTTATGATACATCCAATTCTCTCATCAAAATATATATAACTCATATCTTATCCTCTTTTAAATTGAAACAGGTGAGATTCCATCATCTCTCCTCAACATTTCTTCTTTAAGAATGTTGTATGCAGACAAAAACAATTTGAATGGTAGTCTTCCAGTATCAACTGGTGATGGAACATTGTTGGAAGAATTATATTTATCATGGAATTTCTTTACAGGTATGCCTAATCGCCCATTTCTTTATTTTATGTTTTAAACATTCTTATTTTTTATTTATACTTATTCTGTATTGCTTGCAAAATTTTTATTTAAGATTGCTTTAACCCTCTGTTTGAATGGAAAGAAAAGTTTGGAGGAAAGAACTAGGAGAGAAAAGTGGGAAGAAGAAAAAGTGGGAGAAAAAATGGGGTGTGAGATTCACCATATTTTCCTCTCAAACTTTCTCTCCACATGTGAAAAGAAAATGGGAAGAAAATACACCTTCCACTTCTGCCCTCACATCCACCCCTCTTCGTTGTGATTTTGTGAGCGAAACTCATGGCAAAACTAAACTTCACATTATAGCTGTTCTTATTATCCCCAGCATTAGTGCAGTTTGGTTCACAGGTGAAAAGAAATTTAATGTTCAATTGATCATTGAGAGTAGATGAGTCTTTTTAAATGACCGTGGTCAACCTAAAAACTGAGTTATTTTCTATTAGTTTTAAGCCTCTAATTATCAAAATTCCATGTATTATTTATATGCTTGTGTACGTGTGAGTTTATTGGGAAGTTGCTTGCCATACTACAGCGTAAATAACAAATATTCTGTATTTATTTATAGGTAAAATTCCTTCATTTCTTTGGAGCATGCCTTCTTTGAGAATTGTTAATGTTCGCGTCAATCATTTAAAGGATAATTTGTCAGAAAAAATATGTCATCATCTCCGTTTACTTGAATTCTTTGATGATGGGGATAATCAATTAGAGGGAAGCATTCCAAACTCAATAAGCAACTGCACATCTTTGAAAGGATTATATTTGGGTGGTAACTCATTTACAGGTATATAATTATGTGTGGTTGTTTTCTTCTTTTTAATATTTTGTATGCACTTATGATAGGACTCATATGATTAAAATTCCAAAATAACAAATAAAGCCATGATTATGAATAGACAGAACGTCATGATATTACTAAGATAGAAAAGTTATATGTAAATAGTTTTTCCTTATTTAGTATATATTTTTTTGAGAAAAATTCTTTTTTATTATGTATAAAATGTAGCAATTCTGCATTGTTTAACTGTAATCAAAATTACACATAATATTTCTTAAAAAATTATATCGCAGGAATTGAAAAATGTACAGTAAACAAAAAATTATTTGGATAATTATAGAAAATCAATTACAAATAAAATTAAAAAAATTTAAATGAAACTAAAAAAATGCTTATACAACGAAATGTAAGTTCATATTAATGAACGAGAACACAAGATGTTTTCAATAGTTAGTCAAATTATTAAATCGCATTATTTGAATTCATTTGAGTTTATAGAGAACCTTTTGTATGTTCAATTGTATGTGAAATTAAATAATTTTTTTTAACAATAAATAAGAAATTAAAAGAAGTATACAAAATGAATAGGAGGAGGAAAGTATACTTTCATAATTTCTTGCTTCAACTGTACCATAAAAAAAATCTACTGGCGAGAAAAATTGCCGAAAAAATAGTTTTATGCTTTATGCCACACATGATTTATTGGGAACGAGCAAAATATTTTTATTATTAAACTTAATAGACTCACATGCAATTTTTTAAGAAATTTGCTTTCTCCCTTCCTAATATTAATAAGACGTGTAGTTTTTTTTTTAATGGTACACATATGTATTATGTATATTATTATATGCAAATAATATGATCTGCTTTATTTTCTCTTCTTATAAGTCCAATCAATTTTTTTACAAGGCAGTTGTAGCTAATCAATTATATTTGGTTGCCAACCTCTTTACAACCATGAGATTATTATATCTTTTTTTTTTTGGGATAAAAATCTTATTTTTATTTTTCTTTGTTTTTAAAATCATTTTTCCTAATAGACTAAATTTAAAATGGGATTATGTTTTCATCATTTTATTAATATTTTACTATTCATAGTTGGGGGTTAAATCTAGCTAATACTTTACAATCCAAACTATCGAAAGATCAAATCATGGATTGACGGTAGTCTATGAGATTTTGTTTTTTGATATTAAATTCATTCATACAATTCTAAAATAAAATAAAGATAGCATCACGACCTAATGGGGCCACTTGATATTTAAAACTTGGAAGACAAAATTATTTAAGTACTTTGTATAATATAATTTAAACTCTATTCAATGAAAAAGCTCAACATCATATATAATGTGCCCACATGTTATGTGCACATACTTACATATTCCACTGTTCTCCAATTAAGTTAAGCTCCCCCTCCCCCCGGACCCCTTATTGAAGAATACATCCTTCCGCAGTTTTTTTTTTTTTTTTTGTGTCAATTGACAATTTTTCAATTGTTTCTTTTCTATTTCACAAATTTATTAATTTCCTATTACACCAAAAACATTGATTTTTTAAACAAATCTTCTATAACCATGGCATCTCAAAGGTAGTCTTTAAGATTTCCCCTAATTTTTTTATTTAAAAAATAATAGAAATAAATGTATTTGTATATGTTCTTATCTTAGCTCTATTAAAGTCATGATTCCCATCAATTTTTTATATGTAGGTTTTGTACCCAGAGGCATAGGCAAACTTGATAAACTTGAAGCCTTAGATATGAGCAATAATAATTTGAAAGGACCCATTCCTTCTGAAATATTCAACATTTCAACATTAACACTCTTGCGCCTTGATTCGAACTCTCTCTCTGGCCTTCTACCATCATATTTAGGTATTGGACTTCCTAACTTGAAGACTTTACGGTTAGATGCAAATGAACTAACTGGACAAATTCCAAACAGTGTATCAAATGCTTCTAGACTTATTAAGTTAGGTTTGTCATGGAATAAATTTAGCAGAGCTATACCTGGAGTACTTGGAAATTTAAGGAACTTGATGGAATTAGATTTGGATGGGAATAATTTGAGTGGTTTGATTCCGAATACAGTTAGCAAATTACATAGCCTTCAACATTTAAGTCTGAGTGATAATAGATTGCAAGGATCCATTATAAATGAACTTTGCCAACTCAAAAGTCTAAGTGAGTTGTATCTTGCCAATAACCTATTTTCAGGAGCGATTCCAGGATGTCTTGGGAATACTTCATTGCGGAAGTTGAATTTTAGCTCTAACAAATTGATTTCTCATATACCCTTTTCTATTTGGAGTCTCAAAGATATCTTGGTTTTAGACATATCCTCCAATGCACTAAGTGGAATAATTTTTTGACCGGAAGACCGAGAGCTAATTATCGAGATTTTGGGTTATCTGGACACATACTTCGTGAAATGGTTCATGCATGTTTGTTGCCCGGTGCAACAAGATCAAGTTGGTAAGGATGAAAAATTCATTTCGTTGGAGGTATCAAACATGAGGGCAATTATACTACTGAATTTGTCAAGAAACCAAATTTCAGGAAGCATTCCTGTAACTATGGGTATCTTGCAAACTCTGCAAAACCTATCTTTAGCTCACAACAAATTACAAGGACCTATACCTGAATCGCTTAGTGGCATGATAAGCATTGAGTCCATGGATCTTTCCCATAATTATTTATCTGGTATAATTCCAAAGTCCTTAGAGTCATTACTCGATCTCAAATATATCAATCTTTCCTATAATTTATTGTATGGAGAAATTCCAAATGGTGGCTGTTTTCAAAATTTTACAGCTCAATCTTTTATGATGAATAAAGATCTTTGCGGGAAATCCCAACTACAAGTTCAACCATGTAAAAAAGAAAGGAAGTACATGACAAAAAAAGTGAAGTTGTTGATAAAATGCTCACTTCCTATCATGGTTGTCATTCTGGTTGTTTCATGTATTGTCTATCTAAGACATAAGAGAGATGTGTATGCTAATGGTTTAGCCAACAAAGATTTAATAAATATGGGAACACGAATTAGGGTATCCTATTATGATCTTTTGCATGGAACAGATGGATTTGATGAGAGTAACCTTCTTGGCTTTGGATATTATGGATCAGTATACAAAGCAACTCTTCCAAATGGAATGATAGTTGCTGTTAAAGTATTTTGCTCAAACTTGGATGAAGCATTATTGAGTTTTGATATTGAGTGTGTTGTAGCATGCAATTTACGACACCGCAATCTTGTTAAGATTATTACTAGCTGCTCAAATGGTTATTTTAAGTGTCTAATAATGGAGTTCATGTCAAATGGGAATCTAGATAGATGGTTATACTCTCATAACAACTGTTTAGATATCCTAAAAAGGTTGAATATATTGATTGATGTGGCAGTTGCATTAGAATATCTTCATTATGGTTCTTCTACACCAGTTGTCCATTGTGATCTAAAACCGAGCAATGTCTTGTTAGATGAAAATATGGTGGCTCATCTTACTGATTTTGGTGTAGCTAAATTGGTGGGTGAAGAACACTTGAAAATTTATACAAAAACTTTGGCCACAATTGGTTATATGGCACCAGGTAATAATTTAGTAATCATATTTTAGTTTTAATTGTGTGCATTGTTTTTGTTTACCATCTTATAAAAAAATTTATATTATTTAATTACTAACAAAATATTTGTTGTCTTTGCATGCATGAGTTTATTGTATTAATAAAATTAAATTTTAACGACAAAGACATTATGTTCATTTTTTTTATTGACAAAATGGCATTGATACTGATAATTCTACTTGGTATATAGAGTATGGATCAGAAGGAGCTATTTCCATTAAAGGAGATGTGTACAGCTATGGTATTTTGTTAATGGAAATATTTACGAGAAAGAAGCCAACAGATGACATGTTTGTAGAAAGTCTAAGTTTGAAAGATTGGGTGAGCACGTCAACACCACAATCTGTCATCCATATTCTAGATGCAAATTTGCTGCCCAATCAAAATATTGGTGATATATTACCACATGTGTCATCAATTTTTGAGTTGGCATTAAATTGTTGCTCCAACTTACCTGAAGCACGACCTACAATGATTGATGTTGTGGTATCGATGAAAAAAAGCAAGTTTGCATTAATACAAAATATTAGAGGCAACCCAAGTTAAATAATTGTTAAATAAAATGTTAGTTTCTGTTTCTTACCTCTTTGGTTTGGTTTAATTATGTAATAATCTTATCATAGTAAAGCAAAGATGTTTACCATGCAAATGTATCAAGTATTTGAAGTTTGAGTTTTTCTTAACAAATGTGTATTTCAAACATCTCATATTATTTGAATAATACGAACCTGAAATTCTGGCACCAAAAAAAAAAAGTAACATGAATAGTCCATTCCCCCCCCTAAAATTCCCATATGCAAAATGGAATTTGATTCATTATAACTTTCATTATATAATTCTGTTATGTCAAATGATCAAAGGAAGGAAGGGATATTCTTAAGTGATTGGTCTTGTACAATTTTGTTATTATAACACAGCAAAATTATTGTCACACAATTTATCATTCAGATAATTTACGAGCAACTTTACCCATGAAATCAAAACTTTAATATGCTTTTAGAAAGCCTTCACCTCAAAAGTTTCTAATGATAATATAATTTTTTGAGCTTATTGGCTATTATTTTCAACAAGACCTATTTGCAATTTATAGTATTCTAGTATAAATTCCTTTTTTAGGATGTTGGTATTTTTTTCTATATCATATTACTCAAAACCCCAATTTACTTATAAATTACACATCATTAATCATGTTAATATTCAGTTAAATCAAAATCTTTTAATAAATCTTAAGCAAATAAATTAGCAAAAACCTCTGGAAACTTCATGGTGAACTCCAATAACATTTAATGATTCTGAAAGAGAAGACTCTTAAAAGATTGCCTCTAATGTCCATTGCAAGAGCTCTGTTATCATGGCATCTGAGTCTAGGCTCTTCAAGATCCATCACCAAAATTTCAAGAGGGCCCCATAACTCAGGCCCATTATCATGATTGGGAATCCAAGAATGAATAAGAAACATCCTAAGAACAATGTCTAATGTGTATTCTCCTTCTCTCTCAAACTAAGAAACTCACAAACCCTCTTTCAAAGCAAGAAACTCGTTAGAAAATGTGATCATGGCGGACGAGAAAGCATTTGGTGATTATGTGATTAATTTAGGCATCAACTTCGCTCAGCCACTTAATCTTCATCCCTCTAACACATAAGGAGTCACAATCATCACTCTAATCTTAACTGGAAGTGAAAATTATATGATTTGAAAGGGTGATGTTGATTACTCTTCAAGTAAAGCACAATATAAGCTTTGTAGATGGTTCTTGTAAGAAAGAAGATAAGGAAAACACCTCCAAGAGCAGTAGGAGAGCTGCAATGCAATAGCTCTTTTTCTTGGATTTTGAATGTGGCATGGATTGACCTAAAAGAAAGGTTAATAAAGTTTCAAGATTGTGGATATTCTCATTATGCTAAGAAATCAACTTACTTCAAGCTGGTCAGTTAAGATAACGGTATAAAAATATACATGAAGTTTTTAAAACAAGGCGAAAATACACATAACATTTCCAATGGCGATATCATTTTTGCACTGTTTTGGAAACTTTGTGTAGTTTTGTGTCATTTTCTTGACCTATATGTTTGCTAAATAATTAATGTTTGTTGACTTAATGACCATAGCTTTTTTGCACTATTTTAAAATTTCATATATACTTTGGGAACCAAGAAAAATTTATGGTGTTGGATACTCATGATGAAATACCTTATTTTTAGATATGCACTCTAACCCTTTACTACATTGGATAGTGCTTAAAAAATATTTTAAGATACTCAATGTACAAAAAATTAATGAATTTAGGATACTAGGTGCTTTTGGAAAAAAAATTGTAAGCTTTTGTATGCACTAAAAATTAATCAATTTAAGATACTGGATGCTATTAAAAAATATTTAAAAATATTAGATACAACTTAACCCAAATAAATAAAAATTAAAATTAAAAAATTTTAAAAAAAGAGGTGAGTCATCCTCAAACGTTGATTTGGGGGATGAGCATGCTCAGTTCATAGAATTGATGAGGAGGGCATCCATAAAGTAACATAGAACCAAACATTGAGAAATAGGTTTGAGTTTTCTCTATATTTCTTGCGCATTCCATTCATAGATTCACAAAATTACCATCACTTAATATTTTAAATTTCTAAATGTATTTTTTTTAAAAAAATAGTAATTTAAATAAAAATTATCACACATTGTCTAAACACTATTTCTGTCTTGATTGTTGCCTGGGATTCTACTTGATTGTGAAGAATGCTCATAATCAAATAGAATTTTAGGTCTTGTTTGGTTATATCGTTTTTTAAAATAAACTTATAAAATTGTCTTTCAAAACATGTAGAAAAAACGTATAATATTATTACTTGTTTTTCTTTAGATCCCTATAGATTTGTTTCTTTTTATCAGGTCTTTGTAATTTTACCTAAATTTTATAATCATACAATTCGAAGGCGATTGGAAATGGTAAGTGTGTGGATGAAAACGGAGATTACGCATGGTGGCGCGTGAATTTACAAACAGTAAACCGCTAATTGTATGCATTTAGATCGGCAGCCTTTTCACCTTGTTATGAGGTGTATCTCTTAGGTTATCAAGTGGAAGAAGTAGATCTAAAAATCAGAGAAGATAGAGGGAAGGGGAGTGTTTCTTTGCTCCACTGTTCATCAACTCCTTCATTATGAGGGAAGATAGAGTCATGATTCAGTGAAGCAGGTGACGGCAACATGTAATCACAGTGGGATAAATGGAAGCCTCAACCGTTAGGTTAGAATATTAGATCTCTAATCACTGGTATTCAGGTTCGTAATTATCAATATGTTTAATAGATTAAATTGTGGCATCATGATGAAGTGCATCCTTCAAGAAGACCTATGATTATCGAGCTTGAAACCTCTTATTCTCTATGGGACTTGTATGAAATTGATATGGGTTTGTCAAAAGAGGATATTAAAGAATGTGTATAAAGCTAGAATTTCTTCCTTACAATATGGTTGTCAAATTCGTGCATTTCTGTTAGAACTTCAAAACTTTCATGCAAGATTTGTTGTCAATTTTTTAGTGCTTATGCTACTTTAATCTCCATCTCTTTATGTAGTTGAATCTTTGAGGAATTTAGTGGTAATCATTGCTTTCAATCTCTTTGGAAGTTGCTATTATGGGTGTAAGCAGATGTGAAGCTACATCTTCAACTTCCAATTGTGGTATTTTTATTATCAATATGGATAAATACGAGATAAAGGTGAATATCACTTGGCATGTTTCTGTAGCTTATAAGTGGATCAACTCTGTTATTTCCATGTATAAATCTTTTCTGAGTAATCTTGTTGTGGGGCTGGGTGTTGAATGGTCTCCTGAAAAAATATATCATCATCAACTTTGCAACTTTGTGTTGGTCACAAGTGTTTAATTTATCATCATAGTCATTCATTCTTTGTACCCAAAATTCTTCATATTTTTCTCTTAAACCCAAATTATACTTTGTGGGTTTCTAGAACCAATTAAATTGGAAAAAAAATTGCAAACCTCACTAGCATAAATTGCAAGTGTTAAAGGATCCTTTGGACATTTAGTGACTTATGAGTAATTGGGGCAATAAATTCTTAAGCTTTGAATTGATATTTCAAGCCGCATTAGATGCTTATTTTGCATTTGCCATTGGGGAAAAAAATCTCAAGCTTGGAAGCTATCTGGACAATCTTTTTCTGCTTCTCATCAAAGCACTGCTTCAAAGGCATGTAATATTCCTTGTTGGGTTAAGAAAAGTTCTGGTGATTGCAAAAATAGAGTTTCAATCTGGTTTTCAGCATAAGAGTCATCATCATATTTAAAGGTCTCATCGAAATGATGCTAGTAAACCAATGGTTTTTAGTCCTTTACAGAAGAAGTCTTCTGATACTAAGGTGAAGCAAGTCTTCAGATGAAATCAATTTGACTTTTCCAAGGTAAAGACAGATCAAGTTAAGGTAAAGAGAGCTAGACCTCCTGATGGTCATGACAGCTTGGCTAATAAACCAAAATGGCAATTACTAAATAATCAAAATCAAGTGGTTGTTTCTTCCTTATAGTCATCTGCTTTCTATGGTCTCAAAACTATTGCAGTTATGTTTCTGTCTCTGCTTTCTATGTTTCCATCTCAAAACTTTGATTACTAGATAATCAAAGTCAACTTTGGCTTCTGATGTCATATCAAAGAAAGCTCATTTAATGTCTCACTCAAATTCTATCAAAGAGGCTTGGGGAGCTGCTTGCTCAAAGCTTTCTCAGGAGCCATGAGGATCCTTAGTTGGAATTGTCAGGGCTTAAGAAAGCAATGGTACTTCAAAGATGCAAGCAATTGGTCAAATTGCACTCCCCTAATTTCATCTTCTTGGCTAAAACAAAAATTTCTTTATCTAATGCTTGTAAGCCTCCAGTTGATGTGGGTTATAATCATTATGTGGCTACATATGTAATTAAAAAAGGGGGAGGTACAATTATTGCATGAAAATCTGCTTTTGATATTACCGTTTTAGATGTCACTCCCTACTTCTGTCGCTGCTTGCTTAATTTTACTGAAACAAGTTCTCCCTTCTATCTATCTTTTGTATATGGCCCTTTTTCTTCATCTTAAATATATTCTTACCTCTTAGATTAGCCTCACCTCTCAAAGCATTGCTGGACCATGGCTGATTATTGGAGATTTTAATTAGATTTTCTTTTCATCTGATTAAAATTAGCAGCTTTGTCTCTTCAAGTGCTTCTGCCCATTTCCTTTA